CGCCGAGTACCGGAACAAACTTGTGTCTGAAGTCGAGTCTTTGCTGGACAAAGTCTCCAATTGGAGGCGACTAGTCCAGTTTAATCCTCAGAAGACACAAGTTTGCGCGTTTACCGTTAAAAAGAACCCCTTTGTCGTATGTCTTCAGTTTCAAGGTACTCCCCTTGTTGCCTCAGCCAGTATCGGAATCCTCGGCGTCGACATATCGAGTGACGTGCAGTTTCGTGGTCACTTGGAAGAGAAGGCCAAATTGCCCTCTAAAAACATTGGCGTGCTCAGCAGAGCGGGACAGTATTTCATGCCGGCACAACGCCTGCAATCTTAGCCGGTTCGGCTTCACATGGAATACTGTTCCCATCTCGTCGACGACCGAGTGCTTTCCGATCGGCTCGACTCATTGGCGCTGCGAAGAGATGTTGCATCTCTTTGCATTTTCTTTCGCATTTACCACGCGGAGTGCTCTGAAGAATTGTTCGGATTAATCCCAGCCGCCAAATTTTACGAACGCACATCGCGGCAGAACTCCCGATACCATCCACACCATCTGGATGATTGGCAGTCCACCACTGTGCGATTTAGAATATTTTCTTCCTCGTACAACTTCCTTGTGGAATATTTTACCACCAGCGATTTTTCCGGACTGATACTACTTAGGGACCTTAAAGAAAAGAGCCTACTCATTTTTAAAATGCCGACAACGCATCTGCAATTCCCCTGGTGTTGCGGTTGTTCATGGGCGGCGGTAGTCACTTACCATCAGGTGAGCCGCATGCTCGTTTGCCCCCTCTCCTATAAAAAATAATCAAATGTAATTAAACTTTGCAATAAAATCTTGGGAGTGTATATAAAATACGAAGAAACGTTTACCCTGAGATTAAAGTAAATACTTAAAATATAAATTATACGTAAACTATTACCTCGCGTGAGTAGGTAGATAAATATATGCATGATTCGATGGTTTGGTTCTAAATAAAAATCATGGGAGGGAGAGGGGAGTCCTAGTATATCGACGCCAATTTCATTTCATTTCATAAATAAATACTTAAGTGAAGATTAAATAGAGTAATCTGCTAATGTATTTTAGTAAAATACGGATTAAGGCTTTACTTGTTTATTTACGTTACTTAATTATTGATAATGGTAAACTAATATTTTCATTAAATATTTGGAACTCTTTCCAATAGGTACTCACTATGTGCCTCACCTCCAAATTCTGTATGTAACGTAGCTTGAATCGAGACTAATAAATTTAAGATAACTACAGATTTGTTTCTACTTATGTATAATTTCTTAAAATATCCGAACATTACGAGACAGGACTGGAGCAGATTATGAAAAAAGCACTTAGGCACTTAGCACTTATTGTATGTTTGGTAGATATTGATCGTATTTGCTTGAATAATATATTTCTGCAAGAGTTTATAAAACATGTGTAATGATTTCTTATATTTACAAATAATTTATTATTATATTTATTAAGATTTTTTCGCGTTTGATTTACTCACTTAAATTGTTGTATATTGAAATTATACATTAACGTGTCCATTATTATCGTAGCAATTCTTTTATCTGCACGGATAATCGTAAGCTTTGATCTGACGCGTAAGTTGCACACCGCTTTAAGCTCGTCTTTGGGGAGATTTAGTTTCGGCGCTGTACTTCGATGTAACAATTACGAAATGTCTTGACGTAGGGCCTCTAAATCCTCCTTACCGATATTATTCTTAAACAGACAAGCCTCAACATTACATATAATTTCCTTGTACGGGATTCTCCGCGGTGTTATTGCAAAATTCAAGTCCTTCAACAATACTCTTATTGTAGACAATAATTTCATTCAAGCCGCCGTTTAAGATCAGACAATTTTTACCATCCGTGTGTCATATCCTTCTAAAAGATTCAGGAGTGTACAAGCTGGATTGTGAATGTAGACCACATTATATAGGACATACACTCTTCTATAGGAGAAACAAAAAGATCTATACAAGCCCGCGTAAAGGAACATATAGCTGACTTGAAGCACCGAAGTTCCGGAAGTCTGCAGTTCGTGAACATGTTCAAAATCGTCCCCGTCATTAAATTAGATTTGATAGACCACAAATCCTCGCAAATTAACACCGTCTCCTACTAAGGATGATTCGCAAGGCCATTGAAATTAAAAAAAATAAAACCATCCTAATTTCAATAGAGAAGATGGATGGGTGCTGGCATCTGCTTACGATCCTATAATTAATAAAATTAAATCCAAACCCAAGCATACCACTGCAAGACTTCAAGATATTATAAGCTCATTTTGCGTAGATCGACCAAAAATTAATATTCAAAAAAGGAAGGTAGCTGGGCGAACTATGACATCGAGACGTCAAACACCTCAGTCCTCCCCCCCCTCCCCTCCCCCACTCCCCCCGGTGACAATGGGTATTGTAAAGCACCCGAAAGTTAGGATTTTAAATAAGTAAATTAAACGCGATAAAATCCGTAAATATAGTTTTATCTAAACACGTGTACGTTTATAAAATATGTGGTAAATGTGCCTAATTTATTTTTGCGGTAAATTTTGGGTTTTAATTATGTTGCGCGGAACCCAAATTTTTTGTCATTAATGTCAACATTTTCCTAAAAAATTATCGGCCCGCTATATAATCTGTCAATTATTTTACCTCATTGTAAAGTGCCAGCAACCAAAAATATGGTAGCATGACGTCAAAATTAAAGAGAACTATGGATGTTGTAGTTAAGTTACATAAGCGCCCTCTTCTGGATTTAACCTGCTTTGCTATGAAATGGATTAGGACAGGACGTTTCATGATTTCATTGGATGTTAATAAAGTTATCGTAGATGGCTCTTTTACTATGCCTTAGGAATCTACCTAATATATTCGCATTAGTGGCTCAATATTTTATTCACAGCTACTTATTTATAAAACTATGTGAATTATTTAATACTTCACATAGTTTAAATATTAGTGAAAACACCAAAACTTATAATAATTTTTTATACCAAACTACTTATTGTTTTTGTGGGATGTAAAATAAATATCGATCATTGCAGAAGTCAGAAGAGTGTTTTGTGTTCCTTGTATCAATTAAAGGTTACGTCATTAAACCTGTATAGTAAGTTATTAAACCTATAAGAATGGTTAAAAAAGAGTAAAACCGATGTTAGTATTTTCAATAATTATGTAAGAAATTTCTCAAATTTATCAAAGTCGTATACAAAACCACGAAGAGAAATAATTCGAACCAAACTCTAAAAAAATAAGGATATAATATAATTTTAAGATATAATTTTAGCTCCTTTAACTCCCCGAATCTTTAAGCACTTTGGAGCAGCAGACATTATAAAACTGAGCTGTAACAGCGCTGCACGAGATGATGAATCTCATATCTTAATCTCGAGAGATAAATAGAAATTCAAGAGAAGATAAAATCGCGTACTTTTGACAAAAGAAGCCGTTGCACTGGCTATCGATTTTGAATACGGGTGAGATACAGGTTTATAAATAAGAGGTTTTTAACATTAAGGGCTCCCATAAGTATTAAAAGATCAAAATTAAAAAGCGGATACATTTAAATCATTTATGAATAAACGGTAACATTATAGAATTCAACTTTCAAAATCACTATATGGAGTCGTTTACACGCAACCGGCCATCTTCGCCTTAATTTTTTTTAATATACATAATTTTATTATATAGATACAATATTAAAAACTATACATTTTTTTATAAAATAAGGGTGACAAATGAGCACACAGTTCACTTGATGTTAAGTGGTTGCTGTGACCCATAGACATTTATCTTCGTTTGCGAATTAAAATGCAGATGCGTTGTCGGCCGTGACGACTAAGACGGAATGCCTCTTTTCCAATAAAAAAAGGTCTCCGGTTCTCTACACTCATCACAAGAAACACAGCAACATTAAGCTGCTATTTAACGCTGGTATTCTGTGAGAAAGTATAAAAAACTAAAACTAATAACTTAATTATCATATAGTCCTAATCCCTGTGGTATCGTATCAAGAATGCTGGCTGCGTTTTCTCGCTGAATGGCTGTACTTAGCCTTTGAGCGAAAAAGAACCAGCCCTCTTATCACCAGCAGCAATGGCCAGTCGCGGATAGTCGCCTTTAGGAACTTCACAGCACGTAGACTCCACGGACCGTAAGTGTCTACAGCAAATGACACAAATATCATCACTATCATCTCTCAGAGACTCATATTTGCGCCACTTACTCAGTTCAGCTGCCTCTGATACCGTCTCGGCTATAAACGAGGTACCCTTGAGATGAGCACCGCCAGTGTCTAAGCAAGAACTAGGATTTTACTTCTCTCCCAAAGGACCAATGTCCTATCGTCGGGTCTCCTGCCATCGCCTCTAAATATTTAACAAGGCTCTAAAACTGAGGGAACATAGACCATCTTTAGGAGGAGGTCATATAATACTTAAACAAAATGACTCGCGGGTCTAATGTTCGTGAGCGATTATTAAACACGAGATCCCGGCTTCAAGCCCTGGGACAGGCTAAAATCAGTAAATGGGGTTTTACTCTCAAGAAATTCACAGAAGCAGCCATGAGTCAGATTCAGGTTAACGGTGTTTCACTCCTGTGTCTCAAAAAGCAGGTAAAGTCTTGCACGTATTTCCGTCTCATCGGACCGAGGGAATGAAGAGAGCACATGTGCTTGCGCAAATACTCTTGCTCTTCCTATCTTGCGTATAATGTTAGTCTCCATTGAGAGTTTTGTCCCATACTTGTTAGATTAACTAATTAATAACTTGTAATTATTAATGTTATGCACAATACTAATGTTACCTTTTTAGTATTGTTATATAACAGTGTAAAAACGACCTTAATACCTATAATTGACAATAGTGATTTTATTGTCTTTGGATAGTAATTTTGACACCTTTCAGTATTGGTTTACATACAAAATTATTGAAATCGTTTTACATTTTGATTTTAGTATAATATAGAAAATTATAAGAGAGATCGTAGAAAATGTCGGCATCCTTAGATTCATCCTTGGATCCTATGGAAGAAATTAGGTATCGTAAGAAACATGGCTCAATGTGGGCAGAAATCCAAAAAGATACACATTTTACATTTGACGAGCTGGAACGTAAGATTTACTTATTATATTTTTATTACACTGTTATTTATAAATGTAGAGTGCTAAGTTTCTCTATTTAGTTACATTATTATTTAGTCCACTTGACCTCGAATCTGGATTAAGAATCTAAATTTAGATGAACTAACGAATTAATTCAAAAAGTATCGTTATTGGCACGGCCTATCGTCCGCCATGGCTTAATGTTGAAATATGTCTTGACACTATGACTGACGGTTTTAGCACTTTTCATATGATTATGTTATGATATTAGGAGATTTCAACATTAATAAAGAGGACAATAAGACTAAACGTTTTTTAGTATTTGTAAACCATGTAAATATCGTACAATTAATAGATGCGCCAACTCATTTTACAGAAACACGTCAAACTCTCATAGATCTTATATGTACCGACGTACCTACGCGGAATGTAACTGTTAACCACATCAACACCTTAAGTAGTCACGCCTACCTCTCCTGTTAGATGCATATAAAAAGACAAAATACTCCCACGATCTATATTATAGCGCCCTCTAAATGATATTCTGCTAGAATATTTCGAACATGAGCTCCGGCTAATCCCATGGAAAGATAATCAGTGTATTGATAGCGTAAATGAAGTGACAGGAACATTTAACTTCCACATTATACAATTATTTGACTTGCATGCTCCTATTAAATCGATAGTGCTTAAGGATCGCCTTTGTCTATGGATAACGGACAACATAAAGTTTATGATGAGATTACGTGATGAAGCACATAATAAGTTTCGCTCTTCGCAGTCACTTAACCATAAAGCTTATTATAAAGAAATGAAGCATCAAGTTAACATTGCGTTATATTACGAGAAATAAGGTTATTACATTTGTTTTATTAACAACAACATTGGTAACCCAAAGAAATTGTGGTCAAATCTGAAGGAATACTCTTTACTGCCAAAATGATACAGAATTACTTTCAAAATTAATGGTACCTGACCTAATTAATGCACATTAGGGACTAATAACGTCACAATATCGAAACTCACGTATTTCGAATTTGACAGATTCAGCTATGGGAATTTTTTCTTAAAACTGTTTCGTCAGATGATATTACAAAAATAATAAAAACACTTAAATCTAACGCACAAGGAGTAGATGGTATTACACTTAATATGTTATTGATGACTCTCCCACAAAGTTTGGATACTATAACTGCACTTGTCAATAAGTCAATTAGTACCGGCATATTCCCTGACATCTGGAAAAGAGCCCTAATACGTCCTATTCCTAAGAAAGGTAATCCTGATGATTTCAAAGTTTTAAGGGCTATTAGCTTACTACCATGCTAATCGAATATTCTTGAGAAAGTGGTACATCAGCAAGTAACAGCTTATTTTAAAGACAATTCCATTCTACCTGATCTTCAATCAGGCTTTAGAAAGCGGCAAAACACTGTAACTGCGCTTTCCGATGTAGTAGGCAATATATTGGAGGCTCAAGATAAAGGTCAGGGAACTGTGCTGGTCCTGTTGGACTATTCTAGGGCATTTGATACAATAAACACGACATTACTTTTATCTAAAATGGCATATTATGGTTTTGATCCCAAAACAATAAAATATTTCAGCAGTTATCTCAGTGGGCGGTCACGACAAATAATACTAAGAATAGAAAATGGCCGAAATTACATATCATCTCAGCACATTACAAGGGTTGTTCCCCAAGGATCGATTCTAGGCCCTGTGCTATATTTTCTTTGTATACTTCTGACATTACCGTTTGCTTTAAAAATTGTAAATACCATATATATGCAGACGATACTCAAGTTTATACCTCTTTGAAGCCCATGAATACTGGGGAAGCTATACGGGGCCTCAATGAAGATCTCGAAAGAGTACTGAAGTGGTCAGAAAGAAATTCTCTAGTGTTGAGTGTGTCAAAAACAAAGTTTTTAATTTGTTGTACTAAACAACAAATAGAAATTATAAATTATTTCAATCCAAAAGTATAAATAAAAGAAGCTATTTCAGAAAGAGTGGAGAAGATCCATAATCTAGGAGTTATAATTAGCCCTGACCTCAGATGCGAAGAATACATTGCTGGTGTTGTTAAGAACTGCTTTTATCGGTTAATAATCTTGTACAGGATATATGAATATCTAAGTATCGAACTACGTAAGAGGTTATCTGACGCACTTGCATTATCAAAACTTACTTATGCTGACACTGTATATGCGCCATGTCTGCTGGCGCGCACCGCACACCTTATTCAACGAGTCCAAAACACTTGTGCAAGGTTCTGTTTTGATGTGCCACCAAGAGGGCATGTAATTCCATTCCATAATGATAATAACATCCTTAAGATAGCCGCAAGACGCAAACTCTACTTTGCTTGTGCTCTATTTGGTGTTTTGAATACAAAAAATCCATAGTATCTGTACTCTAAACTAGACCGGTGTCGTGAACACAATAAGTATCTAACTCGTGTTTCCTCTCGCATATTAAGTGTCCCTCGACATAGTTCGGTGGCCTTCAGAGGTAGTTACAAATATACAGCTACTCACTGCTGGAATAATATACCACCTCTACGTAATCTAAAGACAATAGGGAATTTTAAAATACACTTAAAGAAAATTTTATTAAACGAACAGAAGGGAAGTATAGGTGTTTGAACATGCTTTATTTAATAATTACCTATGTATTATTTCTAATCAAAATTCAAATTATACCATTAATGATAATTTACTGACTACTAAGTATTTAATATATACCTAATGTACCTGTTACTTTGTATTTATTACCCTCTATTTATATTTATAATACTTGTCTATATTTCTGTCACTTTTAATATATATATATATATACATATATTTATATTTATGTATGTGTATATATGTATATAATCATATTTTTATCATAACCATTTTAGTAAAACGTAAGGACTCTGCATACTATCGTCTACGGCACATCTCGCATGAGGTATAGAATACAGATTAAAAAAAAATACTCGCTCGCATAAAGTTGACCGTCGGAACTTGTTCGAGGCCGGCTGAAAATTAGAGCTGCAAGCTCGCGGCATAATATGCTGAGACGGTACCTTCCATCACTTCATCATAGCAAACAATTTTTATTTTATTTTTATTTTAATCTTTATATGCGTTTGCATATACATATAATGGACGCACTTCTTTTATTTATTCTAATTTTTAGTAATTGTAATTTGTCATGTGTGTAGATGTAGTTGTTGCAATAAATGTCTTTATGTCTTATGTCTTTATAATGTTGTCACCTTTGAGGACTGTGATGGAATTCCTCGTTGTCGTTAACAAGTCTCCAATTCTCTACAGTCATTAAATATTTGTAACAAAGGCGCAATAATAGGCTGATATATCACGCAGATATTCTAAAACAGCGAGGTCCTGTCCTAATGGAGATAACCCATTCTAGCTGCAGCATAGCTGCGAATAGTTTTACATCTTCTTCTTTATATATACCTAAAATCAATTGCTGTCCGTCTAGTCTCGCTAAAACTCAAAAATGGCTAAAACGCTTTTGATGATTTGTGTGTGTGTGTGTGTGTGTATGTGTTTGAATTGGTCCCTAAATGGCTTAGATTCATATTTAGACCCGGTAGATGGTGCCGTTGTTGAGATCCGGAAATCATCACCAAAATTAATTTCATTTCGAAATAAATTTATTTTGCAGAGATTATGGTAATTTTCTTTAAAATACAGAAGAGAGACGAGAAGCCGGTTGCATCGGATTTAATATCAAGGTAAGTACCTACTATATTTTGAGACTACTGTATTATATGGTCCGTTCCTTCAATAGAGAAAAAAGTTTACGTGGTGGCTCCTTAATACTAGCAGATAAATCATTATTATATAAAGAACGTAAGGAAATAGTGAGCCTCTCTGTTGAGCGAACTGTAGAAATGGCTTGTGTCGAGCTCGAGCACCTCATTGTTGTAAGTGTTTACAGACCTCCATGTGCTACTTATGACTATTTTGAAAGGATTGTAGAAGAAGTTTTGCTCAAACTTAGTAAACAGAACAAGTATGTTGTAATATGTGGAGACTTTAACATCAATCTTCTTGAAACTTTTTCCATTAGTATTAAGTTTAGCTCATTGTTTAAATCGTATAATCTTGTTAATTTATTCTTAGAACCAACACGTATTGCTGGGCCTAATGCGACCTGTATTGATAACATTTTTACAGATGTTAAGCCTTTGCGTAAATCAATTATTCAAAAAAGTTCAGATCACTGTAGACAGTTGGTATCATTGCCTTACATACACAAGAAACAGAAAAATAAGAAAGTTGTGTTTGTTCCAATAAATGAACATCGCTTGGAGAGGTTTAGAAGTAATATAATAAAAAGAATTCCATCACTTTCATTTAAAAACAGTACTAATTATTTGTATAGTTCGTTATTTAAAATTATAACTTGTGAATTTAGTAGGATATTTCCTTCTAAAACTTTCTCTTTTAACAGTCGCAAATCATTTAATGAATGGGCAACAGTAGGAATTTATAAGAGTAGGCGAAAGTTATACGAGCTTTATAATGAAAGATCATATAATAGTAGTGATATATTTAGAGATTATGTAAAAACATATTCTAAAATATTTAAAAAAGTGTGCGCCACAGCTAAGGCTTTACACTTAAGTAACAAAATTAAAACTGCATCTAACAAAATTAAAATAACTAGAAGAATAATAAATAGTGAAACGGGAGAGGTCAAACCGCGCAATTCGAATTTTCAATTGAATATTGACAATAATTTAACTCGATCTGATCAAGAAGTTGTTATGGCTTTTGAGAAACATTTTACTGGTGTTCCTTTTTTGACAACAAAATCAGTAAATTCTTCTGCTACTGTCGCCGAATCATTGCTCAAACAAAATGTAAAGGCTTGTTCAAATACTTTTAAATTCCATAGAGTACTGCCAAAAGATATCGTTAAATATTTTAAAACTATTGATGTTAAGAAAACGGCAGATTTATGGGGGATTTCCGTTAAAGTTATTTTATTTATAATATATATAATAGCACCTTATCTAGCCACTATATTTAATATAAGCGTCGAATCTGGTGTGTTTCCTGATTCAATGAAACATAGTAAAGCCATACCTTTATTTAAATCTAGGAGTACATTAGACCCCGCCAATTTTAGACCAATTTCTGTACGACCAATATTTAGTAAAATTTTTCAAAAAATTATTTTAGACCAGATGTTAAGTTTCTTTAATATTAATAAATTGCTACATAGAAATCAAATCGGTTTTACATGGGGTCGTTCGACAACTGACGCTGTAGTTGAGCTTATTAAGCATATTTTTTTGTGCATGGGAGAATTCAAAGGATGCTTTGGGTATATTTTGTGACCTTTCCAAGGCCTTCGACTGCGTTCACCATGAGACATTAATCAGGAAGCTACAGTAAACTTATTGTTTCATATTTAAGTAATAGAAAGCAGAAAGTTATTATCAATGGTAAAAGTTCTTCCGGCTCACCTGTATTAATGGGTGTCCCTCAGGGCTCGATTCTCGGCCCATTCCTATTTCTAGTGTATATTAATGATTTACCTTCTCTTGTAGAGGACAATCATGATATTATTTGCTGATGATACTTCCTTGATTTTTAAACTTAAACGTCAATCATTTAAATGTGACGAAGTGAATAATGCCTTATTAAAATTAGTGCATTGGTTCAATGTTAATAATCTACATTTAAACGGAAATAAAACTAAATGTATTAAATTTACAACAACAAATGTTAAAAATCTGAGTACCAATGTGTTTTTAAATGAGGAAGAACTGAGCCCTGTTGAATCCACTGTTTTTCTTGGCATCACTCTCGACGCAAAGCTTCGGAGGGGTCCCCATATATCTTAACTAGCAAGCAGACTAAGTTCTGCAGCCTATGCTGTAAAAAAGATTAGAGGTCTCACTAGTGTCGAGACAGCTAGATTAGTTTATTTCAGTTATTTCCATAACATCATATCTTAAGGGATTTTGCTATGGGGAAATGCGGCTGATTTAGAAACTATTTTTGTTTTACAGAAGAGGGCCATTAGAGCTATTTGCAACCTAAAACCGAGAGCCTCTTAGAGATAAATTTAAAGAAATAAATATATTAACTTTGGCCTCTCAGTATATTTACGAAAATTTAATGTATGTTCACAAAAACAAAGGTAGTTTTAGTAAAAAAAGTAATATACATTTTGTAAACCCTAGGAACAAACACAAGCTAGTGATACCAGTTTCTCGACTCCACAGAGTCTTGGGGCAATGTATACGCTATTACAACAAGGTCCCGGAAAGTGTACAGGCTCTCTCTATTACCAAGTTTAAATGTTTTGTTAACTTGAAATTGTATAAAAAGGGTTATTATAGTATAAATGAATACATGGTTGATAATAACCCCTGGGAATGAGGTGGTCGCTTCCAATCTGTTTCTAAAATAAATTTTGTACTTATATAGTTTGTACAACCATTAATGTAAAATATACTTTTAAAAAAATGTAAAAAATGACTGTCAATAAAAACTACAATGGGATCTATATTGAATAAAATATTATTCTATTCTATTCTATTCTAAAGAAACTGACAATTGTGGGATCGGGCATAATCTACAAGTTCCATGCGAAAATCCTTTGGGAATATCTTATCAGGGCTGTCGCGCACTGTGTGTTCAACTACTCTACAATACAGCAGAGATTGCTCGTAGGGAACATTTGCTACAAATACCCTACTAAAATAGCTGCAGCATAGCTCTACCACGTTTTTGATTTGATTGATGCAAAGCAATGCATATTTGCATATGGTTAATAGTAATGTAGACAAGGCTCTCTCTATTAGCAAGTTTAAATGTTTTGTTAAGTTGAAACTGTATAAAAAGGGTTATTATAGTATAAATGAATACATGGTTGATAATAACCCTGGGAATGAGGTGATCGCTTCCAAGCTGTTTCTAAAATAAATTTTGTACTTATATAGGTTGTACAACCATTATTGTAAAATTTGCTTTATAAAAATGTCCCGCTGGGTTTCTTTCTGGTTCTTCCCAGGACATAGGTTTTTTTTCGAACCAGTGGTAACGTCAAAATGACTTTCAATAAGAATTACACATGTGATCTATATTGAATATAAATTATTCTATTCTATTCTATAATATTTGTCATAATTATCATCTCTATGATAGAGAAAACGCGAAACACTTGTATCTAGCATTAAGTCCCGAGAGCGTGCCTGCTTCAGTGATTACATAAAACGTATTGATTTCCTCTACGACATATTTTAAAATACAAGAAGGGTTATTAGTTAAACAATTTAGATGTTTAATCTTATATATATTTAAGTAGATAAAATTATTTTAGTTTATAATATAAACCATATTTTTAAATGAAATTTGTATATAGTAAATTATTAACAGAGACAATAGTTTCCGAATAAAGGTAGGTCACAGAAAATATTATTTCGATGATCTCGTAGCCCATTATATTTTATATGAAAGAAAAACAAGAGCAGGTAATTGTTATTCCTTCATTCAATACATCCTACTAAAAGTCCGTTGAACGTCATAGGGACCCATGATTGCAATAATTAATTAATTTATTTATTAGGTTTAATAACTTTAGTTACAACTAGCTGTCATTCGCGACTTCGCCCGCGTGGAATTTGCTACGGTTTCATGGGTTTTAATTTTTTGCACGGAACTCTAATTATTTTTCTAAAATAAAAATATCCTAAGTTACTCCTCATAACATCAGCTATCTAGCAGTGAAAATCACGTCAAAATGGGTCCTGCCCTTTCGGTGATTAGCCTGAACAAACAGACTGACAGATAGACAAAAATTTTAATAATTGTTTTTTTTTTCGTATATACTTTCATATGCATTTAGTAAAAATCTGTTATTTTAACATTACAAACAGACACTTCAATTTTATTTATATGTATAGATAAATAAAACTAACTATTATGGACAATTTTCTTACGGTAAATGCATTTATTATTTTCTGTAAACATAAAGAGAAATTTTCTTTATTTATTGTTAATTTTTACTATACAATAACGGTCAAATGAATAAACAGCACACCTCATGTTAAATGAATGCTGTAGCCAATATATCTTTACATCTATTTTCATTAAATTAGAAATCAAAATGCAGATGTGTTGTCACCCCTGAGGACTAATGTTGAATGCATCGTTACCAGTATAAAGAGTATCAAGGTCTCTATATTCACCATACGAAACACAGCAGCATTGAGCTGCTATTTTAGGCTGATAGAATAGAATAGTATTGGGATAGAATAATTATTTATTCAATATACGTCAAATGTATGTAATTCTTATTGCAAATCATTTTTTACTTTATCACTCATTCGGAAATAAACTTTTGTCCTGAGAAAATGTAAGAAACCAAGCGGGACTTTTTTAAAAGTAAATTTTACATTAAAAGTTGTACAAGCTATTTACCAAATTTATTTTAGAAAAAGCTTCGAAGCGAGCGCCTCATTCCATGTATTAATAATATGAGTTATTATCAACAGTGTATTCATTTAAATTTTAATTACCCTTTTTATACAATATTCGTTTAAAAAAGTTTTTAACTTGGTAATAGAGAGACCTTGTATATTTTCTGGGACTTTGTTGTGATAGTGTATACATTGTCCCAATAATGAATTACTGACTCTGTGGAGTTGAGAAACTAGTATCATTAGCTAGTGTTTGTTCCTATTGTTTACGGAGTGTATATATTTTTTTAAACAAAAAATACCTTTGTTTTTGTGAACATACATTAAATATTCGTAAATATACTAAGAGGCCAAAGTTAATACATTTATTTTTTTAATTTTTCTTAAATGGCACTCTTCTGAAAAACAAAAATAGTTTCTAAATTAGGCGCATTTTCTCATAGCAAAATCCCATAAGGCATTATGCTATGGAAATAACTGAAATAAACTTATCTAGCTGGCTCGACACTAGCGCGACATATAATCTTTTTACAGCATTAGCTGCAGAACTTAGTCTGCTTGCTAGTTTGGATATATTGGGGTTCTATTAAAGCTTAGTCGTAGGTAACAGGCCTATCGCCATCACCCCCTTGTTCTCCAAAATAATGGAATCCGTTATAAACTGCCACCTCATGCGGTACCTTGAGGATTACTAGCTGATTAGTAACCACCAGTACGGTTTTCTTAACACATAGATGGGATCTTCTGGTCTACTTAACACATAGATGGGTGGAGGCAGTAGGGTCCAAGGGGGAGGCATTGGCCGTTAGTTTGGACATTGCGAAGGCCTTCAATCGGGTTTGGCACAAAGCGCTTCTTTCGAAGCTCCCTTCCTAGGGGCTTCCCGAGAAATTATGCAATTGGATCACCAGCTTTCTTGCAGATCGGAGCATCAAGGTCGTTGTAGACGGTGCATGCTCCGACTACAAGCCTATTAACGCTGGTGTTCCACAAGGCTGCGTGCTATGACTAACGCTGTTTTTTCTGCATATCAATGATATGTTGCAAGCCGGTAGCATTCATTGCTATGCGGATGACAGCACTGGTGATGCTCTATACCCGGCCGTGCCAATATTTCTCGGGAAAACGTCACCAAGTACCAGAACAAACTTGTCTTTGCTGGACAATGTCTCGGATCGGGGGAGACTAAATCTAGTCCAGTTTAATCCTCAGAAGACACAAGTTTGCGCGTTTACCGCTAAAAAGAACCCCTTTGTCGTATCTCCTCAGTTTCAAGGTACTCCCCTTGTTGCCTCAGCCAGTATCAGAATCCTCGGCGTCGACATATCGAGTAACGTGCAGTTTCGTGGTCACTTGGAAGAAAAGGCCAAATTGGCCTCTAAAATGCTTGGCGTGCTCAGCAGAGCGGGACAGTATTTCATGCCGGCTCAACGCCTGCAACTTTACAAGGCGCAGGTTCGGCCCTACATGGTATACTGTTCCCATCTCTGGGCTGGAGCTCCCCAGTGCCAGCTACTTCCACTTGACCGCATCCAGCGCAGAGCGGCTCGAATCGTCGACGACCGAGTCCTTTCCGATCGGCTCGACTCATTAGCACTGCGAAGAAATGTTGCATCTCTTAGCATTTTCTTTCGCATTTACCATGGGGAGTGCTCTGAGGAATTGTTCGGATTAATCCCAGCCGCCAAATTTCACGAACGCACATCGCGTTAGAACTCCCGATACCATCCACACCATCTGGATGATTGGCGGTCCACCACTGTGCGATTTAGAAGATGTTTTCTTCCTCGCACAACTTCCTTGTGGAATAGTTTACCACCAGCGATTTTTCCGGACCGATACGACTTAGGGACCTTCAAGAAAAGAGCCTACTCCTTTTTAAAAGGCCGGCAACGCATCTGCAATTCCCCTGGTGTTGCGGTTGTTCATGGGCGGCGGTAGTCACTTACCATCAGGTGAGCCGCATGCTCGTTTACACCATCTCCTATAAAAAAAAAGGTAAGTCATAGATATACAGGTGACCCGGAAGAACTTTTAATATTGATAAAAACTTTATGCGTTCTGTTACTTAAATATGACATAATAATAAGCTTAAACGCTGTGTTCTTGACACCATGGTACTTCCTAAATTATGTGAAAAAATATCATGGTGAACATAGTCGAAGGCCTTGGAAAGGTCACAAGATATATCCAAAGCATCTTCTGAATTCTTCCATGTACAAAAATATTTTTAATAAGATCAACTCCAGCGTCAGTTTTAGAGCGATCCCTTGAAAAATCAAATTGATTTTTATAAAGCAATTTAAACATTAAAAAAAATTAACATTTGGTCTAAAAGTATATTTTCAAAAATTTTACTCAGTGTTGGTAGGACAGAAATTATTCTGAATTTGGCGGGTTCTAATATACTACCAGATGTAATTAAAAGTTTGAATATACTATGTTTCATTAAATCAGGAAACACATCAGATTCAAAGCTTGTATTAAATAAAGTGTCTAGATAAGGTGCTATTGTATCTATTATAGATGCAATCACTTTAACAGAAATCGCCCATGTCTGCCGTTTTCTTAACCTCAATAATTTTAAAATATTTAACGATGTCTTTTGGCAATACTCTATGGAATTTTAAAGATTTTGAACAAGCCTTATGCAATTATTCGGCGACAGTAGGAGAAGAATAAACTGATCTTGTTGTCAAAAAAGGAAAATCAGTAAAACGTTTCTCAAAATCCATAGCAACTTCTTGATCAGATTGAGTTAAATTATTGTTAATTTTCAATTGAAAATTCGAGTTGCATGTTACGTTTAAAACTGAACTGGTAGTTTTAATTGTGAGAGTTGAGCTTATCCGTTTCACTATTAGTTATGCCTTTTTTTAATAGGATAAGGGTGACAAACTTGTATACAGGCCACCTGATGGTAAATGGTTGCTGTGGCCCATAGACATCTACATCTATTCTCGATCACGAATCAAAATGCAGATGCTTTGTCACCGGTGAGGATTAAGATGTAATGCCTCGTTTCCAGTAAAAAGGGTCTCCGGTTCTCTATACTCACCATACGAAACACAGCAGCGTCAAGCTGCTATTTTACAATGGTATTCTGTGAGTGCGTGGTCCTTCCCTAGTCGAGCTGACCAATTCGTGCTACAACTATACCTACTACTAATATAGCTGCAGTATGGCTCTACCACATATACTCCACGTCATTTTAATTTTATTGGACGCAATTTTAATATTGTTGCTTACATGTAAAGTCTTAGCTTTGGAGCACACTTTTTAAATATTTTAGAATATGTTTTTACATACTCTCCAAAGAAAACACTACCATTTTATGATCTTTCATCATAAAGCTCATATAACCTTCGCCTACTATATATTATATAATCCTACTGTCGCCCATTCATTAAATGATTTGCGACTGTTAAAAGAGGAAGTTTTAGAAGTAAATATTCTACTAAATTCACAACTAATAATTTGAAATAACGAACTATACAAATAATCGGCACTATTTTTAAATGAGGTAATGGAATTCTATTTCTACCGACGTCAAAAAGGAGACGGTATACTCAATTGGACTGTGTTCTTTTTTATGTGTACTCTCTCCCTCTTTTAACTTTTTTCTGGGTGAACCGATTTTGTTGATTCTTTTTTATTCAAAAGCTGGTGCTTTCCATGTGGTCACATATAAATATGTTCAAAGTCTGACCAATAGTTTTTAAGTCATTGTTAATCATTTATATTGAAGACCGTTAACCAAAATTTTAAAATTTAAATTATTTTATTACTTCTTAACCTCCGCAAGCGATATTCATTCATTGGAACAAACACACTTTCTCATTTTTCAGTTTTTTGTGTATGTAAGACAATGAGACCAACTGTCCACAGGGATATTCTGTGAGAGCGTCCGACATCGTCGAGGCAACTCATTCATGATGCAGTCATAATATAGCTGCAGCGTGCTCTACCACGTTAAATGTTATAAAAAAGTTAAGAACTTTTCAGAGCTCACTTCAGAGACGTACTTCACACCGGTCTGGGAATGACAGACTCGTACATGATGGAACGAGTGATGGTGGCTTTAGACCGAGGCACGTCGCCGTATGTCACAATGGCGACATTTGCGAAGGCAATGTCGCTATATCTTCGTGGCAGTTTGGAGGAACGTATTAACTATGCATTTACAGTTAGTTTGTTCACTTTATACTTTTCATTCTCTATGACTGTCAAATTGGTTGAGTGACCATAAGCGAGACTGCTGATCATTAAGTTCCGCTTTTGAATTTCGGATTGGACTAAAATCAGGCTTTTCCTGTAAAGAAATATTCAGTAATCACTCTTCAGTTGTGTTGAATTGCCGTCTTATCGGACTACAAAAGTGAGAGAATTGAGAGTGCACATATGCTTGTACAGTGTACATACACTGTACAAGCTGTACTGTAATCTTGTCTTGCGCAGGTGACTAATTTTAGTTGCCATGACTGAAACTCAGATACAGTCAAATATAAAAAAAAATATTTTTAGGCTAATTGGCAGATTTAATGGATATTGTCGTCCGTTACCGTTACAGTACATCAAAGTCCACTGCTGTAAACACAGGCCTCACGCTTGTCACACGTACCAGCAACCGCAGTATTTTATTTTTAGTGATTATTTTACTCATACTCTGTTACACTATCTCCTGATTTGTTTCTCTCTGTCATCTCTTATGCACCCACGGGATGATATGGGGTACTGTATATTCTTACACCGCCATCACCACCACACGGTTTCCACCGTCCATAGGTTTACATAAAAGTCCAAATAATCAAAGTTTTGCCAGCACTCGATCATGATAATTCCAAATAATTATGGTGTATTGTGGAACCTAAAAACTTAAATATAATGTGTTGTAGCTTTTAATTTGACTCGTTTATATTATAATATTACTTGAACTTTTTAAATTGTTAAGATTGCAATAAAATTATTATATTTTATTTCATAATTCTGTAGAAATTAAATGGATAATATCTATATCTATTTTAAAATAAAATTGAATAATTGAAGCTGTTTTCATCACATCTGTCATACACGCGATTGTATGTTGCTAATTGAATCGTATACGTACGACATCTACGAGACGCAATGCGGTGAAATAGAGAAGTATCTCTAGAAAAAAAGTAGCTCTAACGAATTGTAATTAAACATTTTTACGCGTTTATTTATATTGTGATATAAGCCAATTTTAGCTTTTAGCCAATTTAATTTGTATTTTAATAATTCTTTAATATAGTATGTAAAAATCTTAATATTTATTAATTCTGAAATTATCTTCCAGTGTTATGATTTGCTTAGCGAAGGCTACTTGCGACGAGAAACTATGTACCAATTAATGAAAAAGAGTTTAGCGAAGTCTTCTCGAGATGATGACGTTGAAGAAGCAGTGAAGGTAAAATAAAATGAGTAATTTTATGTGTTAAAAAGCAAGCATCAGAGATAACAGGGCTAAGAACAGAGAAAAGTCTGCCGAGCTATTTCAATTGGGGTTGGCGGATCTCACACTTGACTTGTCCTTGGATATTTTCTTCTACATGCAGATGTTTTTCTTTATGACATATGCACGTACTATATCAAAACTTAACAATGCAACGAATTGGTTACTCGTGCAGTAAAACATTAAGGCAAGCGCTTTTCCCTTAAGGCCCTAACTGTGGTTGAAATGCCTAAATTCTTGGATATTTAAGTTAAAAAATCACAATGACTGTTCATTTAATCCGCAAAAAAAAACAGGATGACAGAAGAGGATTTAGTAAATGTTTTTAATTGAACACAAATGTATTTTTGTCTACCACTTATTAAAAAAAATCCACGTAAAGTACCTATCTTTGTCATATTTTTTCAAAACGGCACAAGCTCTTTAAATACTTTTTACACAAAAAAAGGTCTTAAAAATATTAATATTTTTAATTGAGTTTTATCTTTATTCCCCGTTTTACTCGAAAAAATATAATGTTTTCCCGAAATTCAATATATTCGCGCGAGCGTACATGCTCCGTCGCCCTGTAATCACCCGCGAGCCCTGTCGCAGTCCGTTTTCGGACATCGTCGAGGGTGGATCGCGCGTCGGTGTCGGAGCGATTTCGTTCAAATACATTTTAGTTTTTTAAGAATTTATACTCAATTATAAATTATTTTTATGAATATAAAAACATCATTTAGTTGATATCTGTACATTGGTAACTGTAAATATTGTTTTCTAAATAAATTAATTTTTAAAGTGTCCAAAGAAGAAGAAATTTTCGCGGTGACGTTGATTAGTGAAATTGAAAAACGCATTTTTATATAATTTAGATGTGGAACGACCAACATGCTCTCGTTACTTAGATTTCGATAGTTTTTAATACCTATGTAATTTTATTGTTGCATATTTTTATTAATTAGTTGATACTTAATTTTATAATTATGTATTACAATAAAACGCTGTTTTTATAAGTATAACTTTAATAGAACATTATTGGGGAGGGAAATCTAGATACAGATGCTTATATTTAGGTACACTATTATAAAATTAAATCAAACAATTTAAATAAAATAAATGTGGTGCTTCCCTAAGTGCATAAGTAAAAGTCCCCCTTCCCTCCCAGACCGCTTATAGAGTGCTCGTGCGTGTATTTTGATCTGTTATTGCTTTATTTTTCGATATAAATTAAAATAAACCAATAAATCAGTGCAGTGAAAATAAGAGTGCATAAACAAACAAGAAGTTATTTCGCCGAGTCAATAGCCGTAGCAGTGCCTCAAGCCCCGCCCACTATTCCGTAGAAACGGCCGTTCGTCCTAGCACGCTACGAACTGCGCTACGAGTCGACACTACGTACTCTGCTACGGAACGATCTCTGCTACGGTTCTGACGCCCTGGTAGCTCGGAAAGACATTGAACTAGTACCGCACACTAAAAACTAAAAAGAAAAATATTTGTGTACGACTCTGCTGAGTTTATGCGTATCTTGTACTTTGAACTCTCAAGCTGACTAAAATTGCACAAAGTGTTTGTTGGTCTCTCTCCTGAATATTGTGATCTCCAGTGTTATACGACCCTAATAGTTGTGCCTGGCTAATAAACAACTGTACCAATAAGAAGTTAGTTGATTTGGTGCTGTGTACTGAATCTGTGACTTGCTGCCTGCTTATTAAACCCTAATACAAGTCCACTAAAGATGCCACTAAAACGAACTCCCCCTCTCCCCACTGCTGCCATTTCTACCTCCACTTCATCACCCTCTCACAACCAATATGAAACAAATCTTAGTGGAGTGCTAGATGGCGTGACTATCAGATCAAAGCGTTTTCGAGAGGAAGAGCCCATGACTGACTTCATGGATGGCATGATGAACCTACTGAGGGAATTCAAAAATGAGCAATAAATCGAAAAGTTGATGTCATCCAGGATTCTATTGCTGGGGTACAGGGACAGCAGAAAGAGAAGCTTAACTCCTTACAGCAACCTACAGATGTAATAAGGAAGCAAAATGATGCTATACAGGTGTCCACGGAGTACCTTCTGCAGGAGAACACCGAATTAAAAAAGAAACTGCAAAAAATGGAGAGCGAATAGAAAGAAAGCACTGCTTATATACGTACCCTGGAGGACCGGATTGATGGCATGGAGGGACAAGGTAGATGCTCAAGTATTGAGATTCGCAACGTGCCGGTGTCGAGCACAGAAAGCAAAGAAGACCTTCTAAATATTATACTGAGCATATCGATTGCCCTGAATGTAGATGCATCTGCTTCGGATGTATGTGATATCTACAGAATCAACACAAAAATACCGACACAGAAACCTATCATATGTAACTTAAATAGTGTACTTATTAAAGGAAGAATACTAAAAAGGCAAAAAACTTTAATAAAGCTCATAAAGAAAATATATTTAGTACAGAACACATACGTATCAAAGGAGCAGCCCAGCCTATATTCGTCTCCGTGAACTTAACTCCAAAATCAAGAAGACTATTTTTCCTAGCGCGTAATTTTGCAAACTCCAACGATTATACATTCTGTTGGGTATCCCATGGAAGAATATTTCTACGCAAAAGAGAGAGAGAAAAACTTATCCGCGTGGATTCGGAGCTGGATTTAGCTAAGCTGCTGAATGTGAACAAATGACTATACGGTAGTTTAATCTTACTTATTACATTAATCATATGTACACGGTACATATTGATGCTTACACAACGCAATCAAACACAATTATTCTTACACATACGCCACTCATTATCACGACATAAGCTATATATCACACACTCATACAGCATCACTTCTGCCCTCAAACTAATAATTATGTTGATACCTACTCAACTCCATCTCACGACTTCCAATCAGGAATACAGAACTCTCAGTGTAATTCAAAAATGCACCACTCATAAATATCTTAAGTCATTATGGAAATAAATCAAATAAATACTGAAATACACAAATCCAACTGCAATGAATCCTTTATGTGCTCTCCGCAAGAATGCGCACTGCACACTGATCCAAACCGTTAACAAATAAAAATCCTTCACGTTAACATCAGGAGCATTAGCCAAAATTTTGATGAACTTTGTATCTTCTTAAATATATTATGATAAATATAAAAGTGGATATTATAATATGAACAGAATGCTGGCTTAGTAAAGTTGTTAATGTCCCGGTCCTACGAGTACAAGGCTTTAATTCTCACTGTTCCGATTGGCACAATCAGAACGATGGTGTCATTATGTTTATTAGAGAAGATATGAAATGCTAATTATCTGTCGTAAATCTTACAGACGCTAGCTGCCTGAAAATCTGCTTTAAAAATAGTTTAGCTATTTAAGGTGTATACAGATCTCCTTCTGTCAAAATTATCGATAATTTTCTCAACTTACTAAATAATTTACTACTATCTAGCGTCATACAAAACGGTAACACTCATTGGAGATATTAATATCAACATTCTCTCTGATAAACGTGAGCACAAACCCGACCCTTATTTGAATCTTCTGGCATCACACGGGCTATTAACCGCACATTTTTTCATCACCCATGATGATGCTTGCCTTGATCACGTTATGATGAAAACCAACATTATGACAACCACCATCGTATCAGATTTCAAATTCACCGATCATAATCCTGTTCTTACATTCATGGGTCAACGTCAACAAACACCATACCAAAAAACTCGATTACATGTCAATACACAAAATGTTACAAACGAATTGGCCAATACCGACTTTTCAACCATCTTTGGTACCAGAGATACTAATCTTGCTGTTGATCTATTAATCTCCAAGATTTATACATGCATCAAGGGAAACACCAAGTCTGTCAAAGTGTCATGCAGAAAAAGTATTGAAGCCCTCGATTACACCCGGACTACTAAGATGCATACAAAACTGTGACAGCTTGCATTACAAAACGAAAAAAGACCCAAACAATTTAGTAGCCAAAGTCACATATTATCTACGTTATCGCAACTATTGCAATTAAAAAAATTAAAATGTCCCTATGAACGCAGCGAATTTCAAAAACCAAAAATAACCCCAAACCCCAAAGCGACTTGGAATGTCATCAAGAGCATAACTTATCTCACCTCCTCTTCATCACCTTCTACGGACCTACTTGATTTAACAAATGGCTCTTTTGTCTCAATAAATCATGTTAATGACTTCTTTGTCAATATTTGACCAAATCTAGCATCCAAAATTCTTAATAATCAACATCTATGAGTTTCACCTAAAACCTCAATAAAATCATCTCATAATCCTCTTGGCAACTCCGTGGTTTTATTAGAGACAGACGAATCAAAAGATGAGAAGATAATTATTAATCTAAAAACAGATAATGCTACTGGCTGTGACGGAATCTCTTCTGCAGTTATTAAGGCTGCACGAAATACCCTTGTTCCTCCTATAACATACTCGTATGTCTGCAACCGTTCCCTTGAATCAGGTGTCTTTCCAAAAGCCTTCAAGAAGGCTCTGGTACGTCCAATTTTTAAGAGTGGGGACAGAAGCAGTGTCAATAATTATAGGCCTATATCAGTTCTCACTTCCCTCTCGAAAATAATGGAAAAAATTCTTAACACAAGGCGTATTAATTACTTGAACAAATACAATATCATATCAGAAAATCAATACGGCTTTAGAAGTGGTTTATCCACAGAAGACGCTGTTATGGATTTAGTCAACTCAGTAGCTAAAAAAATAGACAATAAATTAAAAATAATAGGAACCTTCCGTAACCTATCCAAGGCCTTTGACACTGTTTCTATCCCCATCTTACTCGTACTTCAAAAGTTAAATGAAATTGGCATAAGAGGTTAGGCTTTGGAAATCTTTCGAGACTATCTCTCAGAACGCAGTCAATGTGTCAAAATAGATTCTTTTATTAGTGATGATAAATATCTCTCCTATGGAGTCC